CATAGCGGTGACGCACGGGGAGATCATGGGCCTGGGGGTGAGCGGGGTGAGGAGGTGAGTGGGTGGGTGGGTGGGTGAGTGGGTGGGTGGGTGGGTGAGTGACTATGACTCCACTCACTCACTCACTTAGTCACTCACTCACTCACTCACCCACTCACTCACCCACTCACACACCCACACACACACTCACTCACACACTCACCCACTCACCCACTCACTCACTCACACACACACTCACTCACCCACTCACACACTCTCTCACCCACTCACACACTCACTCACACACTCACTCACTCACTCACACACTCACCCACTCACCCACTCACTCACTCACACACACACTCACTCACCCACTCACCCACTCACTCACCCACTCACACACTCACTCACACACTCACTCACTCACTCACCCACTCACTCACACACTCACCCACCCACACACACACTCACTCACTCACCCACTCACTCACCCACTCACTCACTCACTCACTTAGTCACTCACTCAGTCAGTGATTCAGAGTGGTGAGGGGAGACGGCATAGCGGTGACGCACGGGGAGATCATGGGCCTGGGGGTGAGCGGGGTGAGGAGGTGAGTGGGTGGGTGAGTGGGTGGGTGGGTGAGTGGGTGGGTGGGTGAGTGGGTGGGTGGGTGGGTGAGTGGGTGGGTGGGTGAGTGGGTGGGTGGGTGAGTGGGTGGGTGGGTGAGTGGGTGAGTGGGTGAGTGGGTGGGTGGGTGAGTGAGTGAGTGAGTGAATGAGTGAGTGGGTGAGTGACGGAGCGAGTGACTGAGTGAGTGAGTGAGTGACTGATTGAGTGACTGAGTGAGTGAGTGAGTGAATGAGTGGGTGGGTGAGTGGGTGGGTGAGTGGGTGAGTGAGTGAGTGGGTGAGTGAGTGGGTGAGTGAGTGGGTGAGTGAGTGAGTGAGCGACTGTGACTCCACTCACTCACTCACTTAGTCACTCACTCACTCACTTAGTCACTCACTCACTCACTTAGTCACTCAGTCACTTAGTAACTCACTCACTCACTTAGTCACTCACTTAGTCACTTAGTCACTCACTCACTCACTTAGTCACTCACTCAGTCAGTGATTCAGAGTGGTGAGGGGAGACGGCATAGCGGTGACGCACGGGGAGATCATGGGCCTGGGGGTGAGCGGGGTGGGTGGGTGAGTGGGTGGGTGGGTGGGTGAGTGGGTGGGTGGGTGAGTGACTGTGACTCGACTCACTCACTCACTTAGTCACTCACTTAGTCACTCACTTAGTCACTCAGTCACTCACTCACTCACTCACCCACTCACACACTCACTCACTCACTCACCCACTCACCCACTCACTCACCCACTCACCCACTCACTCACTCACACACACACTCACTCACTCACACACTCACTCACTCACTCACCCACTCACTCACACACTCACCCACCCACACACACACACACTCACTCACTCACCCACTCACTCACCCACTCACTCACTCACTCACTCACACACTCACTCACTCACTCACCCACTCACTCACACACTCACCCACCCACACACACACACACTCACTCACTCACCCACTCACTCACCCACTCACTCACTCACTCACTTAGTCACTCACTCAGTCAGTGATTCAGAGTGGTGAGGGGAGACGGCATAGCGGTGACGCACAGATCATGGGCCTGGGGGTGAGCGGGGTGAGGAGGTGAGTGGGTGGGTGAGTGGGTGGGTGAGTGGGTGGGTGAGTGGGTGAGTGGGTGGGTGAGTGGGTGGGTGAGTGGGTGGGTGGGTGGGTGAGTGGGTGGGTGAGTGGGTGGGTGAGTGAGTGGGTGAGTGAGTGAGTGGGTGAGTGGGTGAGTGGGTGGGTGAGTGAGTGAGTGAGTGGGTGGGTGAGTGAGTGAGTGGGTGAGTGGGGGAGTGGGTGGGTGAGTGGGTGAGAGGGTGGGTGGGTGGGTGGGTGAGTGGGTGGGTGAGTGGGTGGGTGGGTGAGTGGGTGGGTGAGTGGGTGGGTGAGTGAGTGGGTGGGTGGGTGGGTGAGTGAGTGGGTGAGTGGGGGAGTGGGTGGGTGAGTGAGTGAGTGACTGAGTGAGTGAGTGAGTGAGTGACTCAATGAGTGACTGAGTGAGTGAGTGAGTGAGTGACTCAATGAGTGACTGAGTGAGTGAGTGAGTGAATGAGTGGGTGGGTGAGTGGGTGGGTGAGTGAGTGGGTGGGTGAGTGGGTGGGTGAGTGAGCGACTGTGACTCCACTCACTCACTCACTCACTCACTTACTTAGTCACTCACTTAGTCACTCACTTAGTCACTCAGTCACTCACTCACTTAGTCACTCACTCACTTAGTAACTCACTCACTCACTTAGTCACTCACTCACTCACTTAGTCACTCACTCACTGACTTAGTCACTCACTCACTTAGTCACTCACTCACTCTCTCACTCTCTCTCTCACTCACTTAGTCACTCACTTAGTCACTCACTTAGTCACTCACTTAGTCACTCACTTAGTCACTCACTTAGTCACTCACTTAGTCACTCACTCACTCACTTAGTCACTCACTCACTCACTTAGTCACTCACTTAGTCACTCACTTAGTCACTCACTTAGTCACTCAGTCACTCACTTAGTCACTTAGTCACTCACTCACTTAGTCACTCACTTAGTCACTCACTCACTCACTTAGTCACTCACTCACTTAGTCACTCACTCACTCACTTAGTCACTCACTCACTCACTTAGTCACTCACTCACTCACTTAGTCACTCACTTACTCACTCACTTAGTCACTCACTTAGTCACTCACTTAGTCACTCACTTAGTCACTCACTTAGTCACTCACTCACTTAGTCACTCACTTAGTCACTCACTCACTTAGTCACTCACTCACTCACTTAGTCACTCACTTAGTCACTCACTCACTTAGTCACTCACTCACTCACTTAGTCACTCACTCACTCACTTAGTCACTCACTTAGTCATTCACTTAGTCACTCACTCACTTAGTCACTCACTTAGTCACTCACTCACTTAGTCACTCACTTAGTCACTCACTTAGTCACTCACTTAGTCACTCACTTAGTCACTCACTTAGTCACTCACTTAGTCACTCACTCACTCACTTAGTCACTCACTCACTCACTTAGTCACTCACTCACTCAGTGATTCAGAGACTCAGTGAGTTGATGAGTGGCTGAGCGAGTGAGTGAGTGACTGAGTGAGTAGCTAGCTAGCTGAGTGAGTGACTGGGTGACTGAGTGACTGAGTGAGTGACTGAGTGAGTGACTAACCAGGGCAAAGTTCCTGTTCATCTCCATCTGCTGCACGAGGGAGCTGTGATTGTGATGCAGGTGAGGTTGACTATGACTCCACTCACTCACTCACTTAGTCACTCACTCACTTAGTCACTTAGTCACTCACTTAGTCACTCACTCACTCACTTAGTGATTCAGAGACTCAGTGAGTTGATGAGTGGCTGAGTGAGTGAGTGAGTGACTGAGTGACTGAGTGAGTAGCTAGCTAGCTGAGTGAGTGAGTGACTGAGTGAGTAGCTAGCTAGCTGAGTGACTGAGTGAGTAGCTAGCTAGCTGAGTGACTGAGTGAGTAGCTAGCTAGCTGAGTGACTGAGTGACTGAGTGAGTGAGTGAGTGACTGACCAGGGCAAAGTTCCTGTTCATCTCCATCTGCTGCACGAGGGAGCTGTGATTGTGATGCAGGTGAGGCTGTCTGTGACTCCACTCACTCACTCACTTAGTCACTCACTTAGTCACTCACTCAGTCACTCACTTAGTCACTCACTCACTTAGTCACTCACTTAGTCACTCACTCAGTCACTCACTCACTCACTCACTTAGTCACTCACTCACTTAGTCACTTAGTCACTCACTTAGTCACTCACTCAGTGATTCAGAGACTCAGTGAGTTGATGAGTGGCTGAGTGAGTGAGTGAGTGACTGGGCGAGTGACTGAGTGGGTGAGTGACTGAGTGAGTAGCTAGCTAGCTGAGTGACTGAGTGAGTGAGTGAGTGAGTGACTGAGTGAGTGACTGAGTGAGTGACTGACCAGGGCAAAGTTCCTGTTCATCTCCATCTGCTGCACGAGGGAGCTGTGATTGTGATGCAGGTGAGGCTGTCTGTGACTCCACTCACTCACTCACTTAGTCACCCACTTAGTCACTTAGTCACTCACTTAGTCACTCACTTAGTCACTCACTTAGTCACTCAGTCACTCACTTAGTCACTCACTCACTTAGTCACCCACTCACTTAGTCACTCACTCACTTAGTCACTCACTTAGTCACTCACTTAGTCACTCAGTCACTCACTTAGTCACTCACTTAGTCACTCACTTAGTCACTCACTTAGTCACTCACTCACTTAGTCACTCACTTAGTCACTCACTTAGTCACTCACTTAGTCACTCACTCACTTAGTCACTCACTTAGTCACTCACTTAGTCACTCACTTAGTCACTCACTCACTTAGTCACTCACTTAGTCACTCACTTAGTCACTCACTTAGTCACTCACTCACTTAGTCACTCACTTAGTCACTCACTTAGTCACTCACTTAGTCACTCACTCACTTAGTCACTCACTCACTTAGTCACTCAGTCACTTAGTCACTCACTCACTCACTTAGTCACTCACTCACTCACTTAGTCACTCACTTAGTCACTCACTTAGTCACTCACTTAGTCACTCACTCACTTAGTCATTCACTCACTCACTTAGTCACTCACTTAGTCACTCACTTAGTCACTCACTCACTCACTTAGTCACTCACTTAGTCACTCACTTAGTCACTCACTCACTTAGTCACTCACTTAGTCACTTAGTAACTCACTCACTTAGTCACTCACTTAGTCACTCACTTAGTCACTCACTTAGTCACTCACTCACTCACTCACTTAGTCACTTAGTCACTTACTCACTTAGTCACTCACTCACTCACTTAGTCACTCACTCACTCAGTGATTCAGAGACTCAGTGAGTTGATGAGTGGCTGAGCGAGTGAGTGGGTGACTGAGTGACTGAGTGAATGAGTGAGTAGCTAGCTAGCTGAGTGACTGAGTGGGTGACTGAGTGAGTGACTGAGTGGGTGACTGACCAGGGCAAAGTTCCTGTTCATCTCCATCTGCTGCACGAGGGAGCTGTGATTGTGATGCAGGTGAGGTTGACTATGACTCCACTCACTCACTCACTTAGTCACTCACTTAGTCACTCACTTAGTCACTCACTCACTTAGTCACTCACTTAGTCACTCACTCACTCACTTAGTCAGTCACTTAGTCACTCACTTAGTCACTCACTTAGTCACTCACTTAGTCACTCACTCAGTCACTTAGTCACTTAGTCACTCACTTAGTCACTCACTTAGTCACTCACTTAGTCACTCACTCACTCACTTAGTAACTCACTCACTTAGTCACTCACTCACTCACTTAGTGATTCAGAGACTCAGTTGATGAGTGGCTGAGTGAGTGAGTGAGTGACTGAGTGAGCGACTGAATGAGTGAGTGAGTAGCTAGCTAGCTGAGTGACTGAGTGAGTGAGTGAGTGACTGAGTGAGTAGCTAGCTAGCTAGCTGAGTGACTGAGTGACTGAGTGAGTAGCTAGCTAGCTGAGTGACTGAGTGAGTAGCTAGCTAGCTGAGTGACTGAGTGAGTGAGTGAGTGACTGAGTGAGTAGCTAGCTAGCTAGCTGAGTGACTGAGTGAGTAGCTAGCTAGCTGAGTGAGTGAGTGAGTGACTGAGTGAGTAGCTAGCTAGCTAGCTGAGTGACTGAGTGACTGAGTGAGTAGCTAGCTAGCTGAGTGGCTGAGTGAGCGAGTGAGTGACTGAGTGAGTGACTGAGTGAGTGACTGAGTGAGTGACTGACCAGGGCAAAGTTCCTGTTCATCTCCATCTGCTGCACGAGGGAGCTGTGATTGTGATGCAGGTGAGGCTGTCTGTGACTCCACTCACTCACTCACTTAGTCACTCACTCACTTAGTCACTTAGTCACTCACTTAGTCACTCACTCACTCACTTAGTGATTCAGAGACTCAGTGAGTTGATGAGTGGCTGAGTGAGTGAGTGGGTGACTGAGTGAGTAGCTAGCTAGCTAGCTGAGTGACTGAGTGACTGAGTGAGTAGCTAGCTAGCTGAGTGAGTGACTGAGTGAGTGACTGAGTGAGTGACTGAGTGAGTGACTGACCAGGGCAAAGTTCCTGTTCATCTCCATCTGCTGCACGAGGGAGCTGTGATTGTGATGCAGGTGAGGCTGTCTGTGACTCCACTCACTCACTCACTTAGTCACTCACTCACTTAGTCACTTAGTCACTCACTTAGTCACTCACTCACTCACTTAGTGATTCAGAGACTCAGTGAGTTGATGAGTGGCTGAGTGAGTGAGTGGGTGACTGAGTGAGTAGCTAGCTAGCTAGCTGAGTGACTGAGTGAGTAGCTAGCTAGCTGAGTGAGTGACTGAGTGAGTGACTGAGTGAGTGACTGAGTGAGTGACTGACCAGGGCAAAGTTCCTGTTCATCTCCATCTGCTGCACGAGGGAGCTGTGATTGTGATGCAGGTGATGTTGACTATGACTCCACTCACTCACTCACTTAGTCACTCACTTAGTCACTCACTTAGTCACTCACTTAGTCACTCACTTAGTCACTCACTCACTTAGTCACTCACTTAGTCACTCACTTAGTCACTCACTTAGTCACTCACTCACTCACTTAGTAACTCACTCACTTAGTCACTCACTCACTCACTTAGTGATTCAGAGACTCAGTGAGTTGATGAGTGGCTGAGTGAGTGAGTGAGTGACTGAGTGAGCGACTGAATGAGTGAGTGAGTAGCTAGCTAGCTGAGTGACTGAGTGAGTGAGTGAGTGACTGAGTGAGTAGCTAGCTAGCTAGCTGAGTGACTGAGTGACTGAGTGAGTAGCTAGCTAGCTGAGTGACTGAGTGAGTAGCTAGCTAGCTGAGTGACTGAGTGAGTGAGTGAGTGACTGAGTGAGTAGCTAGCTAGCTAGCTGAGTGACTGAGTGAGTAGCTAGCTAGCTGAGTGACTGAGTGAGTGAGTGACTGAGTGAGTAGCTAGCTAGCTAGCTGAGTGACTGAGTGACTGAGTGAGTAGCTAGCTAGCTGAGTGGCTGAGTGAGCGAGTGAGTGAGTGAGTGAGTGACTGAGTGAGTGACTGAGTGAGTGACTGACCAGGGCAAAGTTCCTGTTCATCTCCATCTGCTGCACGAGGGAGCTGTGATTGTGATGCAGGTGAGGCTGTCTGTGACTCCACTCACTCACTCACTTAGTCACTCACTCACTTAGTCACTTAGTCACTCACTTAGTCACTCACTCACTCACTTAGTGATTCAGAGACTCAGTGAGTTGATGAGTGGCTGAGTGAGTGAGTGGGTGACTGAGTGACTGAGTGACTGAGTGAGTAGTTAGCTAGCTGAGTGAGTGACTGAGTGAGTGACTGAGTGAGTGACTGACCAGGGCAAAGTTCCTGTTCATCTCCATCTGCTGCACGAGGGAGCTGTGATTGTGATGCAGGTGAGGTTGACTATGACTCCACTCACTCACTCACTTAGTCACTCACTTAGTCACTCACTTAGTCACTCACTTAGTCACTTAGTCAATCACTCAGTGATTCAGAGACTCAGTGAGTTGATGAGTGGCTGAGTGAGTGAGTGAGTGACTGAGTGAGTGACTGAGTGACTGAGTGAGTAGCTAGCTAGCTGAGTGACTGAGTGAGTAGCTAGCTAGCTAAGTGAGTACCTGACTGAGTGACTGAGTGAGTAGCTAGCTAGCTGAGTGACTGAGTGAGTAGCTAGCTAGCTAGCTAAGTGAGTGACTGAGTGACTGAGTGAATGAGTGAGTAGCTAGCTAGCTAAGTGAGTGACTGAATGAGTGAGTGACTGAGTGAGTGACTGACCAGGGCAAAGTTCCTGTTCATCTCCATCTGCTGCACGAGGGAGCTGTGATTGTGATGCAGGTGAGGCTGTCTGTGACTCCACTCACTCACTCACTTAGTCACTCACTTAGTCACTCACTTAGTCACTCACTTAGTCACTTACTCACTTAGTCACTCACTCAGTGATTCAGAGACTCAGTGAGTTGATGAGTGGCTGAGTGAGTGAGTGAGTGACTGAGTGAGTAGCTAGCTAGCTGAGTGACTGAGTGACTGAGTGAGTGAGTGAGTGACTGAGTGAGCGAGTGAATGAGTGAGTAGCTAGCTAGCTGAGTGACTGAGTGAGTGACTGAGTGAGTGACTGAGTGAGTGACTGAGTGAGTGACTGACCAGGGCAAAGTTCCTGTTCATCTCCATCTGCTGCACGAGGGAGCTGTGATTGTGATGCAGGTGAGGTTGACTATGACTCCACTCACTCACTCACTTAGTCACTCACTTAGTCACTCACTTAGTCACTCACTCACTTAGTCACTCACTTAGTCAC